TAAGCGTGTACGTATTCGTATGTTAAAAGATCAAGTTATCTACTCATATCCCACCCTTCACCCCACACCCTGCCCCCCTTGATAGATACACCTACGCCAGCAGGCATGTATATGGTTGTTCGGATATCAAGCATCTACAAACACCCCGCCCTTTAGCCACACCCCGGCCACTCTAGATAAGACGCTGTCGCACCAGCACATCGTCGAAGTGGCGCAGGCGCAGGAACACGTCTGTGCCGTACTTGTCCATGGTATACATATCCATAGACCCCCCAAAGTACTCGGCATACACCCGGGTCATAGGCAACCCAAACCCTAGACCAGCCATGGGTCCGGCGGGGTTCTGCGATGTCAGGGATAGACCGCCTGACTCCAGTTCAGTCTGGTAGTCCTGTGAATGTTGCATGGGACGTGATGACGATACGCATGTCAGGCTTGTGTGGAGATGTGTAAGCAAGTACATGACGGTTGGGGAAGTAGAGTGTGCATATGTGAGTTGTGTGTATAAATGTGCATTTGTGAATGTGTGTATAAATGTGCATAGTTGAATGTGTATGTGAGTATGTATGCTAATTAGCAATTGTGAGTGTAGCTTACAGGTTAACCCTATGTGTACAAGTGCATTCTCCGTGGGGCTATTCACAATCAGTTTACAGTCCGTTAGCTGTAATTCCGGGCCAGTGAGCCTGTAACTGTCTTCAGCGGCGTGTATGTGTGTTTTATAGTTTGAGTCCGTGCATAGGTGAATATATTTGATTGCGGGTGTAGTTTGAGTCTGTGTATAGGTGAATATATTTGATTGTGGGTGTAGTTTGAGTCCGTGCATAGGTGAATATATTTGATAGTGGGTATAGTTTGAGTCCGTGTATAAGTGAATATATTTGATTGTGGGTATAGTTTGAGTCCGTGTATAGGTGAATATATTTGATTATGGGTATAGTTTGAGTCCGTGCATAGGTGAATATATTTGATTTATACCTTTTACGTACGAGAGTGTATGCATGTGCAGGTAACTAGTAGAACCCTACAATGTGTCACGGGATATTGGTGTACCAGTCACTTCCTCAGTTTACTGCGGGGTACGTGAGCTTCTCTGAAGCCCTTGAGTCTCAAACAAGCTGATTGTGATGCAAATACACTGAGTCGGCGATGCAAAGGACAAGACAACTCACACACAGTCCTGAGACTGTATCGAGACTGTCTGACTCTGGCTTGGTATTGGCCCGTGAATGACTTCGTTACACTGATGTTTGATATACGTGCCGGAATACCTACACTTCGATCCGCAAGGCTCTTTGGTAATGGAAAACCCCTTGTCGCAAAGGAAGACCGCACATTGCGGGCAGTAAGTAGGTGGTTATGCGCACGACGGAATACAGTTGATCATGCTACTTACTTTTGCGGTGGTGAAGGAGTACTCCATGACTCTGGTGTAGATGGCCTTAGATATGCCGCCCCCGTGATCCCTTATCCTGTTGAGTGGATTATTTGAGTCGGTGGGTTAGTACTGCTGCGAGAATCGCGCCTGAAAATTGTTCTGTGCGAATTGCGTTTTATTGACTAGTTCTGCAATTGAAAATGTGTCTGATTGACTAGTTCTACATTAAAAAATGAATCTGGTCAAGTTCTACACTAAAAAAAAGAGTCTGACAGACTAGTTCAACATTAAAAATGAGTCTGAGCAACTAATTCTACATTATAAATGAGCCTGATCAACTAATTCTAACCTAAAAAATGAGTCTGATCAACTAGTTCTACAATAAAAAATATGTTACGTATCAATCGTTTCTCCGGGATCCACAGATGCGGCAGTGCAATTGGGCGCGCCCCACACCACCACACACATAGGAGCAACGGAGCACACAACATAGCAATGGAGCATATTAAAACCCTCAAATATCCGAGTATAAACTTACCTGATGAAGAAGTCACTGTCACTCTTACACACAGATATCTCTACCGGTGGCAGGGATTCGGTGGAGAAGGCGTTTGTTTCCTTATGGAACTCGCAAGTAGCGCGCATTGCATTCTTCAGCACTTCTGCGATAGCCATCAAGTGATGCATATGACGAGAGATTGCGACACGGAATGAAACATAAAAAACGGTACATAAAGGTGAGTTTAAAATATGGAATGAGACATAACTACCGTACATGAAGTGAGTTTAAGATATGGAATGAGACATAATAACGGTACATAAAGGTGAGTTTAAGACATGGAATGAGACATAAATAACAGTACATAAAGGTGATTTTAAGACATGGAATGAGACATAATAACGGTACATAAACGTGAGTTTAAGACGTGGAATGAGACATGAATAACGGTACATAAAGGTGAGTTTGAGACATGGAATGAGACATAAATAACGGTACATAAAGTTGAGTTTACGTCATGCAATGAAACATAACCACCGTACATGAAGTGAGTCTAAGACATGGAAAGAGACATAACTACCGTACATGAAGTGAGTCTAAGACATGGAATGAGACATAACTACCATACGTGAAGTGAGTTTAAGACATGGAATAAGACATAACTACCATATATGAAGTGAGTTTAAGACATGGAATAAGACATAATTAACGAACACGAAGTGAGTTTAAGACATAGAATGAGACATAACTACCGTACATGAAGTGAGTTTAAAACATGGAATGAGACATAACTACCGTACATGAAGCGAGTTAAAGATATGGAATGAGACATAAATAGGTTGCATTGTCCAGGAGTTTTAAGCCAATCACGAAGTACGAATAGAGTTCGAGATATGAAGAAGATTTACGATTAGGGATAACTCCCCATGTTATCCGCTGGAAATCTGAGTGCGATGGTAGATACCCGTCTATATCAAACGCAATGGGTAAGTGATGGTAGATGCATGTCTATATCTCACACACGCGCAAAAACAACCCGTTAACACGACTGGAATATATATTTACAAGTACAAATAGAATGCACTGTACGTTTATTCACTGAACCACAATCGTTCAGTTATACATACAACTGTATACACACTCATATATTTATATATATATTTATATATATATATATATATATATATATATATATATATATATATAGTGTGTGTGTGTGTGTGT